TTGGACCTGACATTTGTTCCAGCTCGTCACTACTTTCAACCTAAGGTTAGGTTTGTTACTTATTGAGTACATGAGGTCGGTTGTACTCATACTACACTTTTGCATCTTGCATGCACATCTTGGCTGTTGTATTTGATGGAGCTGGATTTGAAGATGTACCTACATCCCTGTTGTAGCTGCCTCTTGTTCATGGTAGCCTTAGATTATAAAACTCTATTTATGTACTTTTCAAACAGAAGATGATTTACTTCATATCAGTTTTGTAAATTTTATTCTTAGAAGTTCATGATTTGTATTACCAGTTCTTGGGAAATGTATAAGTTTCAGATAATTTCTTTCATTTAATTGTTTTATTAATTTTATTGGAAATCGATAATTGTTAATTGGCTTATTTAGCAGGTTGGGTTAGGTGCCATCACGACTAGTCGGATTTTGGGTAGTGACATATTAATTGCTAAACTCCCTCGGGATTAATTTCTTTTTCACACTTTGAAAACAATGGAATATGCAATTCCAGTACCACAGTTTTACTTGATTCTTGTGCATCACTTTCTCTTTTAATAACGCGTTAGTGAACACACCAACAATCGTTTTTTCCTTAACTTTTTTCTTTCTTTCTTCTTTTGCTTTCCTTTTTCGTTGCGGGGAGAAAAAGCTTCACACGTTATAACAACCACGTAGAAATTCAATCTTGACTTTGTACCAATTTTAACTTAAGACAATGAATTAAGAGGAAGTAATTTAGTCGACTGAACTACTTTAGACACCGTGCATTATCATCGATCATTTTTTGAGTGTGAAAGGCTAGTTTCTATTTGTTAGATTTAATTATTTGATGTTTCGAGTTGAGTAGTTGACTGAATGTTTACTTCAAATTTGACGTTCGGTTTTGCTCAAGTCACTTAATTAAGGTGGACATTAAAGAAATGTTGCTTGTTTCAAGGTTGAAATTAGAGTCGATGACAGTAACTTTTTAAGCTATATATGTACACCTTAGACTGGACCTATAAGTGAAGCTAGCTCATTATGTGATAATTGTCTAAGAACATATAATATGAGAAAATAATTCATACGCTAAACCAATGTAAGACATTCTAACAATCCTCGCACGAGTAGATTTAGATTTTTAGAACGCAGACAATATGACATGGATGTCTAAAATTGAATAAACCAAGATAGGGGTCCGATAATTTGATATAATGCATGTTAAAAAATAAATAAAACTTATGCCTAATCCAACTCTAAAAGTTACTTCGTACATATTCAATAGATGAAATAAAGCAGGTTCATATGCAAGAGGTTATCAAGATAGTACTGGTGTCAACTATAGCAGCTAAGACGGCGAAGATTATGTCACTTTACCAGAAGAAATGGCCTTTTTTGGGACTTAAAAATATGCTCGTACTTGTCTATTCTCGTGAGGTAGTTTTACATATATACAGTGTCTGCTCAACTATTATTAAGCCATATTCTTAAGCCGTCAAAGTGGTCTTCAAAATTCAGAGACATGGCTAGAATATTGTTGCTGTTAACGTTAGCCTTTTTCCTCATGATGAACATTAGTATTTGTCAAATTTCAGGTGCTCCTCCTCCTCTAGTACCTCTTCCTTTCCCAATTACTCCTGCGCCGTCACCTTTTATTGGTGGTGGTGGAGGTGGAGGAGGAGGAGGTGGACGACGAAGTGGCACAGGAAGCGGTTATGGCTCTGGAAGTGGTAGCGGTTTCGGATGGGGAAGAATTGGCGGTGGCGGTGGCGGTGGCGGAGGCGGCGGAGGTGGTGCTAGTGCTCCAGGATCAGGCGGTGGATGATCAGGCCAAGGTAGTGGCAGTGGTACAGGCTATGGTTCTAGTGGTAGCACTAGTACTATTCCAACTCCTAGTCCTAGTGTCAAGCTTTGGATGGGAAGGAAAGCTTCACCAGGCTTTTACTAGCTCGTCATCGGCGAAAGAGAGATAGTATGTCCTTATTCCTAATATGACAGCAGTGATATATTTAATACTATTACATTTTGTAATAACTAAGAAAGGAGAGAGCTACATATAGCATGGAACTACTTTTACATATAGCATGGAACTACTTTTATGTTTATTACATGTGCGTGAAGCCATGCACATTTTTCTTGATTGTGATTTGCTAATAATAATGTGATCTTGTAAGTTGTATATGTATAAGCACTGGTTGATGTTATTAAAGAGAAATTTCAGTAGTGTAAGATTGCAAAATACAAGAGTATCATGCGCGCGCGCTTACCATTTAAAAGTTTGGTTGGTTGGAGTTAATTGTGAAAATAATGATTATGTTAGAATTATTATCTCATATATTATTGGTTTTGGTTTTCTGCGAACCAAGTCTACCCATAACACCCCTTCCAATTGAATCCTTTAGCCTCGAAATAAAATTTAAAGTACGACCTATTTATCTACGATTGAAAGATTTGATTTTGTAGGCTATTGCAAATATTGTTTCAGTTATATAATCCCTTTCCGAGGAGAAGATCAATGTAATAATACTTTCTCTGCTTCAATTTAAGAGAAAAGGTCGACTTCTGAACTCTATGATCTTAAAACTGCAATGATATTTGTGTGATTAAAAGACGTGTGGTTAAACATTCCATAATAATGACTATAAAAAAATGAAGAAAATAGATAAAATTAAAAAAAATTAAAGTTAAAGTATTTTCAAATATAGTGTGTTATCCTTATTTTACGAACTAATAAAAAAAGTATGTCACATAAATTATAGTGGAACAAATATAAAATAGTATAGAAGATATAAAAAATTAAAGATATTTGTATGGTCATTTTCTGCTATTTAAATTATAAACGGGTATAGTAAATCATCTTCTGCTATTTATGAGGTGAAAATAGCACAGACTAGCTAGTTTTCAGATTGGTAATTGAAAACAGCCAACATTTGCAAAGTCATTAAAAAATAGCCGCTATTTTGCTGCAATACGAAAAGTTCCAACATAATATATTAGAGATTGAGGCACCTATATATGAACTTCCAACATATTATGCTGGAACTCCAACACATGGAAAGTTCCAGCATAATATACTAGAGATTGGAGCACATGTATACGAACTTCTAACATATTATGCCTGACTAGTATATTATGCTGAAATATTTTCCAAATTTTGAATAGTATTTTCGTTCATATTTATCTTTACATGAAAAGTGACTAAATTTCAATTACTTTCGAAGCTGTGGCTATTTTTTCAATTACCACTTGTAAATCTGTCAATTTTTGAATAAATGACACCAAAAAAATGTAAAAATAGCACGGGCTAGCCAGTTTTCAGACTGGTCATTCAAAAATAGTCAGCATTTGCAAAGTCATTAAAAAAAGCCACTATTTTGCTCTAACAGGGACCGATCCAACATAATATACTGGAGACCGGTGCATCTGTGTATGAACTTCCAACATATTATGATGGAACTCCAATACGCGAAAAGTTCCAGCATAATATACTGGAGATTGGAGCACCTATGTATGAATTTCCAGCATATTATGCTGGACCGGTATATTATACTGGAACTCCAGTATATTATGCTGGAGTTCCAGTATACTTATGCTGGAACTCCATAATAATATGCTGGAGTTCCAGTATACTTATGCTGGAACTCCATTATAATATGCTGGAGTTCCAGTATACTTATGCTGGAACTCCATTATAATATGCTGGAGTTCCAATATACTTATGCTGAAACTCTAGTATATTATACTGGAGTATTTTTCGGATTTTGAATGGTGTTTTCGTCCAGATTTATCTTTACATGAAAAGTGGCCAAATTACAATTACTTTTAAAATTATGATTATTTTTGAATGACCACTTATAAATCTAGTCATTTTTTATTTTCTCCCCAAAAAACCCTTAAATCCAAGGGTTCTAACAAAATTTATAAATTTATCAATAAGTCCCTCTCACTCTCACTATAAAAACATCCTGCCTCCCAAAGGCGGGAAAAATTGGAAGAGAAAATTCACACAGAGAGAAAATGAGCAACTCAAAATCAAAGTCCGGCAGAGATGTACAAAGCTTGCTTGAAGCTATCAAATCTTCCGATGTAAGCTTTTATTCTAAGCTCACTATTCACAACTCCAATTTCACTTATTTTTATTCGTATGTTATTTCATTTTTATAAATTCCTAGTATTTTTCAGAAGTTATTTCACTGTAATTTTCGTTATTATGAGTTTCAGCTTGATATTTGAAATAGTGTTGCATTTTTTTTGTTTCAAGGTCAATTCTAGGTGCTCTAAGTTGATTGTAGAAGTCAAATTGACTAAGTTCAATCTCAGTCATTTGATTCAACTATTTGTATTATTTCCTCTTTCGGTGTTTCAATTAATTTGTATAAATTTCTCCATATGGCAGAAGTTAATTCACTGTAATTTCGTTATTTTGAGTTTAATTTATGAAATTGCTATTTGAAATAGTGTAAATTGTTTTCAGGGTTTAGTTTCAGTAAGTTTTGATTAGATTCTACTCATTTTGTCCCACTTTTTGGTGCCCTAAAGTGACTTTAGAGATCAAATTGACTAATTTCAATTTCATTCATTTAATTCAACTCTTTGTATCATTTCACGATTAATATATAAATTTCCTTTTATTTCAGAAGGTAATTAACTATAATTTCGTTATTATGAGTCTCATTTTGAAGAAATTGCAGTAGTTTGACAGTAGTTTAGATTGTTTTTTAGGATTTAGTTTCAGTAAGTTTTTAATTAGATTGTGCTCATCTATCCCAATTTTTTAGTGCCCTAAGTTGACTTTACAGGTCAAATTGACTAATATCAATTTCAGTTATTCGATTCTACTGATGTATTTTTTCCTCATCACGTTTCCATTAGTTTTTAAAGGTTGCCTTGTATTTTTGGTATTTTTTTTTTTTTGGTAACTAACATATTTTATTAATCACCAAGTAGTAATTACAAAACTTTAGCATAGCTAACACAGCTTACTATCTATCCATTTACATTGTATACTCAACTACCTAGAAATATAAGCTATACACAAACAACTTATTTCTAGGAGTGACTCTAACACTAACAACATAAGCTATCTCTTTTGTAATCTGCTCCCATACTCTGCTTTTTTGTTCAAATATACGTCTATTTCTCTCCATCCAAATGTGGTAAGCAACTTCTGCATAAACCATTCTAAAAACCTGAGCATGTTGGGTTTTCCCTTTGGCACATATCACTGACCATTGGCTGAATTGCTGCCAATTGGTAAACCCCTGAAATTGCTTCTCCATCCAGTTACACATTTTGGTCCATACTTGTTGAGTAAATTCACACTGCCCAAATAAATGATCTCTTGTTTCCGCTGCTTTTCTGCACATTACACATTGTGTGTCAACATTAATCTTCCAGTTAGCTATCCTGTCACTAGTCATCAATTTCCCATGCATCATCAGCCACATTATAAATTTTGCCTTTGGTTTTGCTGCATTATTAAACATCAATGTTTTCCATTCCACCCTGCTGTAGTCACCAAGTAAATGTAAGTATATTTGTCTGATCAAGCTTCTGTTGTGAGTTTGCATAAACTGTCTAGCTTCCAGAATTCCATGTGCCTCTATCACTTTTCTTACCATCCAACAGGCTTGCTGGGGTGTTGGCATTGTACTCATCTGTTGAATCTTGATGTAGTAAGTATGAATCCAGCGGATCCACAACTTATCTTTCTTGTGAGCTAAATCCCAACAGTGTTTGGCAATGGCTGCTTTGTTCCATAGCTTCAGGTTAACAATATTCAGTCCACCTCCTGCCTTTGGCAAGCAAACTCTATCCCAAGCAAGCAAGGCCTTCCTTGTTATTTCATTTGTACCAGACCAAATATAAGACCCGCATAGTCCCTCTACAATCTTGATCACTTTTGTTGGAAGAATGAATAACTGTGCCAGAAAGCCTGAATTCCAAACAAAATACTTTGGACTAACTGGACTCTTCCTGCATAGTTATCTGAAATTCAGTGTTATTAAAAGCGCTCGCTTTAAGCGATGAAGCGACGTGAGGCGCAGTGGTAGCGCTTTTCTGTTAAAAAGGCGACTCACATTCAAAAAGCGTGCGCTTTTCTCACTTAAGCGAGAAGCGACGCGTTAGAAAAAGCGAGAAAAAGCTCGCTTAAGCGAGCAGAAGGCATCAGCTAGGGCTTTTTTAAAAATTTTGGGCAAATAAACCATCTGTTACCAAAACATACGCTTTCAATTTTTTTCACTTTTTAAGCGCTCATTTTTTGCCCTAAACGACTTCTTTTTCTTCTGTTATTAAAAGTGCTCTTTATGCTCTGTTTTCTGTTATTAAAAGTGCTCTTTATGCTCTGTTTTCTTCTTGATTCAAGAATTGAAACATTTGCTTAATATGTTATTTTTAATGAGTTCTTAGCCATTTATCTATGCCTATTTTTTTTATTTTTTATTTGTGTTAAATTGCGCTTCACAGCAAAAAAGCGCGCTTCGCTTCGCGCTTCTCGCTTCTGTGAAGAGAGACCTCGTCGCNGTTATTAAAAGTGCTCTTTATGCTCTGTTTTCTTCTTGATTCAAGAATTGAAACATTTGCTTAATATGTTATTTTTAATGAGTTCTTAGCCATTTATCTATGCCTATTTTTTTTATTTTTTATTTGTGTTAAATTGCGCTTCACAGCAAAAAAGCGCGCTTCGCTTCGCGCTTCTCGCTTCTGTGAA